AGTTCATCCTTTGTTGTTATTATTGTCGATTCGTTATTGAATTGTTCGGGAATAAATGATTGGTTTAAGTGTTTAGTTAAGAGTTTTCGTGAGGTTTTTCTTTGCTTTATATTTTCGATAAATCTTTGTTTGTGTATCTCATCGTACACGCCTACGTTAGGGAATCGATCAAAATCGTAGGTACCAAATGGTAAATCATCCATGGTTACGAGATAATCACCGTCAGTGTATGCATATGAAAAAGTGCTTTGAAGTCTTTGTAAATTTTTGGTTTTATCAAATCTATTCGGGTCACTTTCTAATAAATATACGGCTTCGGGTTCCGGACCAAATTCGGTTTTGGAGATGGTTAGTATTGCTGCACTTTTATACAGAGTCGGGTCTGTACTTATAGTAGTACCCAATAAGTTATAAACTCGTAATTCCTTATCTGTTATTTGAGCGTCTTTGAGAAACAACATTCGCCAAGCCTTAAAATATATAATCACTTCAAGACCATCCATACATTTCTTACAGTGTGTTTTATATACGGATTCATCACAGCCCACCGGGGTGGGTGGACAACTCAATATTTCGAGATCAGCTCCAGTTATGTTTAAAAAATACGTATCGAAAGGCTCTCGTATAAAATGCCTTGTTTCGTTATAACACCACGTGTGCATAGATAGTATATGGTCTTTGTAATCTCCCGCTATCATATAACTGTCGAGGTTTAAACTCTTATCTTCTGAGCCGAAAGTTCTGCGTGACCATGATTTTGGTAGTGAGGGAGGTCCTCGTGAAACAACATTGGCGAGAGTGAAGCAGAGCAGTAAAAGTATAATCTTTGAAAACATTGACTGTAAAGTATAAAGTAGCGTAAAGTTAATCTAACAATCGGGTTCATAGTCAGGTTCAAAGTTGTCGTAAAATCTTATTAGAGGAGAGTCAGGGCATCTAATTGTAATCCCCAAAGGTTGTCTAGTCGGGTCGACCCAGTGATCACTCGGGATTAATTTATAGAGTTGGAGGGTAACGCATGCATCAGTTACAGGACTGTAATTGCTTTGTTGTTTTGAATGTCTGTATCCAATATGTATTTGGCTAGCCATTCCAATTTTACCGACTGAATGCCGGCGTCCATTGGTCGACGATAATAGTCTTGTATGTCCTTGTAGTTAATTTCAGATTGGTTTATTTCTAAAGCTTTAAGGTCGCTTTCATGATTGCAGGTGATTAAAATTTTGTTTTGAATTATTTTAAGGAAATTTGTTTTAGCCAGTGATCGCACCATCATCTGATCTGAATGTTCCATTAAGTCTCTGAAGTTATAACCAGTTATTGGTTTCCAACAGTTAATGCGACCTGTCGACGGGGGTGACCAGAATGAATGATATAGCAGTTTGTAGTCGGGTACGTGTGATCGTCCCTTCAAATGTTTTCTATCTTTTTTTGGCACTTCACACATTAATGCTACGCGTATTGCGATTGGTTTACCCCTTTTCGCGTTATTGGGTATAAGTTCGGCTGACTCGACATCTACGGCAACAGCAGACATGTCTGGCAACATCTTAAGTGTCTCCTCGTCTATAACTTCCGGCCTACTTATAGTATCCTCCGGTCTAATATGAGTTCGACAAACGAATATCGATTTTCTACATTCATTACAATTTGTTTTATCAGGTATACTAAAATGATTATCATATTCAATTATTATTGAGTCTAAATTGATATCATGATAATCAGCTATTCTTGATAGTTCGTGTTTATAGTATTCTAATTTTAATCGACAATCGTTATATCTTTCTATAGCTTGTATATAATAATTAGTTAGTGTAGTTAACCAATATTCAGAAAATCTGAATTGAATAGGTTTGGGAAACACAATTACAGGAAACTGAGGTTTGACGGCTACATTGAATGTTGGTTTCCCTTTCTTAACCTTTTCAACCTGTCGGTATAACTCTTTTCTGATGTAAGTAATTTTCTCTCTTTCTTTAGTGACTTCTCTTTTAATCTGACGGTAGTCGGGAAAAATCTTTTCGATCTCGCTGATAATTTGTTTTGTTTGGTTTGACATCTAATGTAAATATAAAATCAATGCGGGCTTTGATTATCAAAGTCTACATTAATTGTTGATCTATTTATTTAAACGTTATTCTAAACTAACTAATCAAAATCTTATTCTATTTATTTGGTAGACCTTCCCACTATTGTATTAAGCTTACTGTAATGACCTCTCATATCCGAGTCCATACATCCACACAACAAAAAAAACAATTTAATTAATTTGCATAAAACATTTATTTTAACTATACTGATAAAATCATACATTAGTTAGAAAGTAATTATTTAAATAAGCAGCTTTAAAACAATTTATTATTTAACTGAGCGTTTTTTAAAACAAATAAAACATTTTGTGTTTTGTATAATTGCAGAATGATCGGTGTTAAAGGGACAAATCTGACGTAGCCGTGGTTCGAGTGAAGTCAGATTTCGAACTTGGAGTCTTTTTAAACTTCTGTACTTGTCGTAATGTTTCCATGTCTCAGGTCGTTTTTCAGGTCTTGCAAATTGATATAATTCGATGTAATGTGAACAATCTGCTATCGTTTTTAGATGTAATCTCAACTGTTCTCTTAACGTTCCTATTCTTCTGCCTTGTTCGCCATTAGTCGGGTTCGGGTTTGCAGCAATATAATTCTCGATGGCTTCTAATCTGGCTTTGACACGTCTATATAGCTTATTGTTGTTTTTTTGAATCATTCGTGATCCTCTATGTGTTGGGATAAACGGTTCGTCGGGATCGACTTGTCCTTCGTTATCGCTGTCCGAGATATCCATATTCTGGCTTTTGTTATCCGACATCTATTAGTAGGGTAGGTAAGTGGAAACAAAGAAAAGCATTAATTCATGCACAAAAACTCAATATTCAGTATTACATCTGGGTTTAATGTCGATAAGCAAGTAAAAAGGTAATTGTTTTAGTCAGTAAATGGCAACTGAATAGACGACTAATTATGAGTGTTAAAATGTTCCACCATTTTTCTAATTGATGAAAACATCATTGGACAGCCTGAGTGATCGCATTTAATGGTACACGTATTAACACTTGATAATGTCCGAACTTGGTTAACTCGAAATCTCGTGATTAGAGGTGGTGAAGGTGTCGGGACATATGGCGTCATTGACGAGTCACTTATATCATCAAGACTTATGGTGTCGGTGTCTTTGGCCAATGGGTTACATGAACTATTATGTTTTTCCCAATCGTTAAAGGAGTCAAAAGATCTTATGCAAAACACGCAGTCGAAATTATTAGTTCCGTGTTGTCGTCTTTCATGTTCGTTTAAAGAGATGATCGACTCGAATTTCGCATGACAGATAACACAAGGATATCTAGGATGGTGTCGAAGATAAACATGTATGTTCAAGTCTTCATCAGTTAAAAAGCTTTCGACGCAACCCTCTTTTTGACATTTTATTAATTGTAATTCCACCGGAGAGTAATCTGGGGATCTATGACCGTTGTTCATCGTAAGAAATAAGGTTTCACGCGATGTGTCACTATCTTCTAATGTTATTGTTTCGGGGTTTATCCGGACTGATTTACAAATTATGTTATGTGAATCTAAATCTTCCTTTGTACTGAATTTTTCATCGCAATATATGCAATCAGACAAATCCAACCCATGATGAATTTCCTTGTGATCGCGTAAGGTTTTGGGTGATCTGAAGTCTTTGTTGCAATCACAACATCTATATGAGTTTGGAAATTTTCGAAATTTAATTTTGTGATTACGTTGGCGGTGTAGAACAAGATCTCCCTTTTCAGTGAAAAATTCGGGGCATAGGTCACATTTCCTTGCCGACTTGAGCTTTCGGTTATGCATAGCTTTCTTGTGATTGTATAAATCGTAGCCACTTGAGAACTTTCTTTCACATAATAAACAATAAAATGGTTTTGCTTGTTGTTTGGGTGTATTTTTATTTTTTGTCAAACGTTTAGTCCGTTCAACTAAAGGATCAGGTGGTAATTTGGGCCTGCCGTTGTTGAGCTGACGGATACAGTCAGCCGAGTAAGTGTCGAGATGTCTAAACGATGCGTTTTGCCAGCAAAACCTTTGCTCACATGAGCCTGTAATGCAATGATACTTAGGTTCCCTATTGTGTTTATATACCAGGTGATGATCAAGTTTTTCTTGATTTATAAAAGTTTCATCACATTTGTGACAAACACCGTGCTCAAGTTTGCCGTGTTGATTTAATTCTCTTAGATTAAGAAATAATTTGCTGCAGGTTTCGTCTTTGCACGTGAAAGAAGATTGGATTAGCTTTGGCCAATTCTTGTCGCCGCTATACTTAGTAGTCGTAAATGTTTGAAGCAAAGTGTTACCGCCAGTCGTGTTGGACTGATGACAGACAATGGGAACTTTGTTTTTATAGAAGGGACTGCTTATTCTTTTTTTGTCCGGTAATTTCATAACATTTAGCTCATCATTGCAGTGTCTACTTTCAACTTGATGATTATGCAGTTTTATGTAATCATAAAATTCTTCATTGCAGTTGTTACAGATTATTGGTGGTTCAAAACCGTGATGTATCATTTCGTCAATGAATTTGCGCGCTTGGAAAGCGCTAAAATCGTGTTTGTAGACCAAATGTTTGTAATATAAACCCGGTTCAATAAATTTCCCTCTACATCTCACGCATTCGATGGCTTCTAGACAACGTCGGTCGTTAGGTGTAAATATATAGGTTACCACGTTTGTCTTTTCTGATTTGTCACGTATTAGTTCTTCAACACTGGACAATGAATCCCTACTGTAGCTACTATCGTCATATAGGCCCGACATTGTATACTATTGAATATCAAGATTATGTTAGTTGGTGTATAGGTAAATGTTAGCAAATAAAATAATTAAAGCATAAAATATTAGGTATAACATCGGGTGACCGGCTTTGACTTCACCGAAAACACCTAAGTATACCTTAGAATTAAGCATATTACAGATACTACATATACACACACACACATACAATACCATACACAATACTACCTACAAATTGCATCTAACATTTTTAGGTTGTAACGCGGACGCCCAGCAGTGCCGTCACACGGGTCGCCTACCCACAACCTTTTAAATGTCAAGTGCTCTGACAATGGACTCGGCATAAGTAGGGGTCATTAACTCTAATTGTTTTCTTGTTGAATTATTCATAACCTTAATAACCGGTATATTCTCTGGTAGGTTTTCTAACCATTGATTATAATAGTGATTAAGCTCAAGGAGGTAAGGGACACGTATGTAACCACTTTCCTCGGCCCGCGCTCGACAATATATATTGTTTGTGAGTTTATCTATAGGGGTTTCGATATAAACTACCAGATCGTATTTCAAGGCGTCCGCATATTGAGATAACTGTTCATTAACTATAGCATCGAATACCTCACTTTCATAGTTAGTCATGAGGTGTTGATCAACAAGTGTGGGTTTGAACACGCGAATCGCGGAGAAATACGATCTCTCCATAACCTTAATGTCTGTCCCGTCACAAGGCAATGCTCTGTGATGGTCAATCATTGTAAGTGCAACATAACTTTCAAATAAAAAGGCTCTCTTATCAGGTTTCCTATAGTAGGCTTTTAATAAGTTAAGGCCGTTTAGGTCCCTCCACTTTTCTATAGGTTCATTATGTATTGAGAGTCTGTTCGCTATCTGAGATTGCTTCAAATAATGACTAAAGGTTGTCTTTCCTGACCCTATATTCCCCTCAAGTAATATAGTTTTATACATTATAGCCCAAAATCAACAACGGTATACCACTAGGCCCTAAAGA